GCCCAATTAATATTACCTATGTAGGGAATACTTTGATGATTTTGATCTTCTAAAGATTTGTATCATCCGGACATTTCATATGTAATACATATATATAAATGAAGCAATAAACCACATGTGAAATAAGAACATTTTCTTTTATTGATAAGATAAAATGTATATACAAACTATATACATTCACATATATATACAAAACATAATGCCTCGAAACCGATGACACGATTGGTTCCTAGGGCATACACTAACATGGAGCCCCTCCATAAAAGTGAATAACAAATCTTACGAGTTCATGTTATCAACTTGAAGCATAAGTTTAGAGAACTCATCCACATACCTGGAAATAGGCCCCGTGTGCTTAAGCTCCCGCATCTTCTTTCGTGCTTCATATGCCACGTTGCCTAGATAGAATTGCTTCTTGATCTCACACTTGAGCACCTCCCAAGTGTTAATGATGCATGTACCTTGCACAATCTCGGCATGCTTTCGTTGCCACCATGCAATAGCATGATCCTCAAGGTACCTGGTTGTAATGTTCACCCTCTCTTGCTCAGTTTGGACATTAGTAGCTTCGAAGTACCTCTCCATGGACCATAGAAAGTTCTCCAGCTCTTGGGCATCCTGCTTTCCCCCATACTTCCGCGGTCTTGGAACTTCGACCCTTGTGAGAGTGCAGCATTGGTGACGACCCCGTTTGCCACCGCCTTCTTTTCAAAACGCCCAATTGCCCTTGCTTTCCTCTAGACCCGATCGGAGCTCTTCCACTTGAGCTTGTAATGCCCTAAGAGAGTCCAACATCACCGCTTGGAACTCCGCGAAAGCTTGGTGCTTCTCAGCAACATCTTGGCGAAACTCTCCCATGGTTTCGACCATCCCTTCCATATCGTCCATCTTTTGATCGAGGACGTCGAGGTGTTCCTTCACTTTGGCAACGTTCACCTCGTTGCGCATCACCCGCACTTCCATGGAGGCCATTATGTCCATGGACTTGTCCTTCCCTCCTCGAGAGTTCTTCTTGGAAGGGTTGGGGTTAGGATTGGCCTCTCTCCCCCTTTGCTCTTCATGGCAAACTTCGGACGACATCTTGAACCAAGAATCTTCCTGCTCTGATACCAAATGTCACGAATCGATCGCTTCCCTTCAGACTCATGCGGCCTTAGGTGCTAATCTCCCGACGATTGCCCTAAGTCAACCTTGCTTGCTCACGCTTCTAGCCCTGCAAGTAAGAAAACACTCACACAAACTCACTCACAAAAGATGCTAGAAAGAGAACTCTTTACTAATGAGAGAACTTTACAATTCTTGGATGGTTTGGCCAAATGAAGGCCTCCCCCTTTTATAGTAGTTGGAGCTTACAATGGATGATCTAGATCTCCCGAGATCAACGGTGGAGATTAGCTAACTCTAAACTACCACCTACCAACTATCATCTACCAACTACCGTATTAATTACAATATTCTAGCATATACAAGAGTATTCCGGAAACTTCTGGAATGTCGAGGTGACGCATACCAAGTGTTTGATGAAATGCTTGAGAGGTGTCACACTTCTCAAGTTTAGGAAGTAGTTGTGGCTATATAAATACCCAAATTAGAGTTGACTAAGGGTATCTCCAACCCACGCCAAAGCGCCACGCCATTTTGGGGTGGCGCTACAGTGCTGCGCCCAAATTTGGTGCAGCACTATAGCGCCACACCAAAATGGTGTGGCACTGTAGTGGCATTAATTTTTTTTTGTTTTTTTTAATTTTGTTTTTTTTTTTTTTTTTTTTTTNTTTTTTTTTGGCTAAAAGAATTCTTTTGAGCAGAAACCACATCGCTTGATTTTTGACTCCTCTCCAATTTTCCTATTCACCCCTTAAAAAAAAGGAAAAAAAAGTTCATTTGCTTTCTCTCTCTATTTTTCGAATGTAAAAAAACAAGTGAGGGAGAAAAGAAAAAGGGTTGAAAATGGTCGATATTGAAGGAAATGTCGCGGGTATTGTGACTTGTGAGTGCTGTTCTCGGTGTTGACAAGTGCTTTATGTACTTATTCAACCACAAGAGCAACTTAAGAATTCTCGAAAGAGAAGTTAGGAAGCTGAAGGTTGCAAGAGATAATGTGGAGGGTAAGGTTGAAGTTGCCAGAAACAATGCGGAAAAGATTGAAGAGACTGTTGAGGAGTTGGTAATGAAAGTGAACTACATCGTTCCTAAATCAGAGACGTTGATTGAAGAGAGAGCAAACGTCAGATGTTTCAACTTGATAGCCCACTACAAACGGAGCAGGAAAGCACCGAAAAAGGTGAAGGATGTTGGGAGTTCTTGACCTCTTTCACCCACTAACTTGAGGGGGGTATTAACTAATGTTAGATGGTTAGTTAACTAATTTAGTTAACACTTGTATTAGCTGCTACAGTATATAAGGTGTGATAATAGTTGTAATAATCAGTTTTACAAATTAATAAACAAAAGGCATCTTTTCCAAATTCCTCTGTTCTCTCTAGTTCATTAGCTAACACAGACTTCAGAGTCATTCTCCACTTATCATGCTTTCACTTTTCATATCTTTTGCATATGATTACAGAATGTCATAGTTTTCAAAACTGATTGGGTCAAACTTCATGGAATAAGGCCTCTAGCTATGTAGTTTGAGGCAAAGCAATTTATATTATTTAAAATTAATTTATAATAGTATAAAATGATATTAAATAAACTATTAATTTATTTTTCAGAAGGCTTGTCCACGCTTTTGCTAGTAATGATAACAATGTTGTTCCAGTAGTTGAATTGAATATAATTGAGTATTCTTGGATATGGTAATTTCAGGATACAAGTTAAAAAAGTAGTAGACATAGAATATTAATTTTGAAGTGATGCATCAATCTTGCCAATGACAATTAAGAAAAAGCATTGAATGTGTATTTTTTATATAAAAAAATATGTATTAAAAGAAGAGTACATTTGTACATTTTGAGGAGAAGAAAGGAGAGAGAGAGAGACTGACAGAGGCTTCAGCGGCTCAGCCTCCAACTTCCATTTTTTCTTTTTAATTTCATTTTTTTTTTCAACTGGGCACCACCTAAGATTAGATGGGCTTTTCATTTTGTCGTATTCTTCGGAGCGTGTATATGTAATGAATCGTGAATATGAACACGTCTCTCTCAGAGTGCACACATTATATTAAGGATACTATATTCACACGACTAATATTTGTGTTTATAATTAAGTTATATAATCAGGCAAAAAAAAAAAAAAATGATATGATGGTCATTTTACATAAATTTTATAATTTTTTTACTTTAATATATACACTAAATTATAAGCATAATATTATTCTTGATGGACTTCTCTCAAATCAAAAGTCTTATTCTCAAAACAAATGGATACAATGATGAACGCTCTTTTGCAGGACCATCTTTTTGGCCCCTCCCTAGCACTCTACAATCGACACGTACACGTGTTATATTCAGCTTGCTCTAGGGAGTGATTGATAGATTTTTCTGTTGATATATCAAGTAATGGTTAATGGTGGATCCTCAATTGTTAATTAGTTTGATGAAAAAGATTCATGGCATCATGAGGATACAAACAAATGAAGTGGCACACACACATCTCATGCCAAACATATTGCCGCCTGCTTTATACATTTAATAATGTACAAAGTTTATTTGCCTAATTTAATGTTACATTGAATGTGAAGTGTTGGATGATTATGTTGTCTCATAAGTAAAACAAACAAAATTCCACCAAACTCTATTATAACTTTTATCTATGAATGAGAAGAGAATAATCATCAATCAGCAAGCATGAATGATGCTTTGCTTATTCAGATTTAATTTCTTTTTTATTTTTTGACAAATGGTTTGAATTGGTCAAGCTTTTTGTGTATAAATGTTATCTACGTTCTTGTCTGCATTGTTTTTGTCCAAATCTTATATTGTATCATTGGTGGTTAATTTCTTGTACTTTTCTATCATGCCTCGAAATGATCGACAAGAAAGCAACGTTTATATTTGGCTCTTTTTATATACTCTTCTTTTAATAGTTTTTTCATCGAAATTATCAGATTTATAATTTATATATGATTAACGATATATTTTACATGTTATTTATTTTCATATTCGATGTATTTCACAATGTCACAACATTTTGTGCAAGCATTGGACTTGTATATGTTAATTAATTTGTTTATTGTTTTCTTCCTGTTTTGAAGAAAATGTTAATAGCCATAAGATTGGCTTTAATTTGAAGAAAAAACAAAAATGCATAAAGTTGTTGACTTTTTATTTGGAGCAATACTAGTTTTACAAAAATAAATACAAAGGAGACATACAAAGATAATTATAACCCTTGATTTTTATGATTTTTCTCTTTTTTTCTGTTTTTTTGATTTTTTTCTTCTTGTTGACATCACTTTGTAATATTCTTTGTATGGGTCTGTATAATGATAGCATTTTTATTATTTTTTATTTTTTTTAAAAGACGGCGTTTTAGTACAGTACAATACTGCACAACAAACACGCCCTAGATCTTCTCTATCATATACACCAAATCGTTTTTGTTATATTTTATTTTTCATTCCGCCTATGGCTATAAGCTCACTCTTTGCATTTGCTCTCAATCAAGATACACTCCCTCAACTCATCACTATTCCCTTCACATCCCTCTCTACTCCACCTCCCTTAACCTCCTCCTCCTTTTCTATCTACGTTTTTCTGTTTTCTTCTCCTTCACCGCTTCAGAGAAACACTTTTGCAGAATTTTTTTTTTTTTTGTAGGCTAAAAGAATTCTTTTGAGCAGAAACCACATCGCTTGATTTTTTCTCCTCTCCAATTCTCTTATTCACCCCTGTTTTTATTTAAAAAAAAAAAAATCTCTCATTTTCTCTGTTTCTTGTTTAACCAAAAAAAATAAAAAAAATTGGTTTTGTTATTGTCTCTGTTTTAATTTCATTTGCTTTCTTTCTCTCTATTTTTCAAATTTAAAAAAACAAGTGAAGAAGAAAGGAAAAGGGTTGAAAATGGTCGAATTTGCCGCGAGTATTGCGGGTATTGTGGGTACTGTTCTCGGTGTTGGCAAGTGCTTTACGTACTTGTTCAACCACAAGAGCAACTTAAGAAATCTCGAAACAGAAGTTGGGATGCTGAAGGTTACCAAAAATAAAGTGGATGTTAAGGTTGAAAATGCTAGAAACAATGTGGAAGAGATCTTAGAGACTGTTGAGCAGTGGGTAATTAAAGTGAACTCCATCGTTCCTGAAGCAGAGACGTTGATTGAAGAGAGAGCAAACGTCGGATGTTTCAACTTGAAAGCCCGCTACAAACAGAGCAGGAAAGCATCGAAAAAGGTGAAGGATGTTGCTGAACTCCTGCGGCTACAAGAAGCATTCGGCGATCAGGTTTCCCACCCTATCATTCATGAAGACACAAGGCTTATATTGAATAAAGATTACCTGGCCTTTCAATCACGATCGTCCACTTTGGAGGATGTATTGGAGGCATTAAATGAGGCCGAGGTGGACATTATTGGGGTTCATGGGATGGGTGGCATTGGTAAGACCACCCTGGTCAAAGAAGTTGGAAGGCAGGCGAAGGAAGAAAAGCGATTTGATAAGGTGATTTTTGTAGAGGTAACTGACGCTCCGAACATAAAAGAGATACGAGAAGAAATTGCGAATGACTTAGGTTTGAAATTTGATGATAAGGAGACTGAAACTGGAAGAGTAAATAAGTTATTTGCACGATTGAAGAAGGAGAAGACAATCCTAATAATTTTAGATAATATCTGGGATGAGCTTGATCTGGAGAAACTAGGAATTCCTTTTGGTGAAAATCATAAGGGATGTAAACTATTGTTGACAGCAAGGGATCGAAACGTGTTTCGCAGCATGAGTTCAACCTCAAAATCTTTCTCGATTGACGTTTTGAAGGAAGATGAAGCTTGGAGCTTATTTAGAAAGATGACAGGTAATGACGTCTTTTCCTTGTACATTTTTATTGGTTTGTCACAATTTTTAATACTATGTTCTAGATTTTACTCATTTCAGTGCTCCCCAGATCTATAAAGAAAGTTTTATTCATTTAAATTTTGTAACAGATAAATATAATACTCGCTGTTTTGTTTTACTTGATTGGATTAATTTTTTTTTTTTAAGTAACAATAACATGAAAAATAGTTCAATTTCACCCATGTACTCGTTAAAAAGGATCATCTTGAACACTTCGTAAGCATCAACTGGTTGCCGCAAGCACTTTTTTTTCCAGCACTTAAAAATTTGTATCATTACTCTTTCAATTGTAGAAAAATGGAATGAATGATCATTAAAGAGAAAGTCACAAGATGATCAAAGCTTCGGTGAATATTGTGTCAGTGATTTATACGTGTGGAAAGAGAAATATCATTTAAAAAAATATTTTGAAATTAAGTGATATTTATTTATATATTTAGATATACTAACAATTTTGAACGAGAATTATTTAGAATAGGTGGAGAGAAATAACAATATCACTCAATTTTTTGCACTTTATATAGGTTTTTATAGGAGTGCTTTGGAGAAATAACAGTATATTCCTTTCGTTGAATCTTCTCCTCCAGCCGTTTGAATTTATTCTTTAAAGTTTTAGTATTTATTTGATACTTCAAAATTTTGTTATAAAACAAAGTCTTTAATTGTATATAAATTATAATGCACACTTCGAATCATATAATTATATATATAGCACTTTAAAATATATATAAGAACGCTATTTAGCATAGGTATTTTTGCTTTGATGCAAGTCTTATTGTTGTTAAACCTTAGCCCTTCTGAATCAAATGGCCCTAACTCTGATGAACTTCTATATATAAATATCAACACCAGTTCATGCATCAATATTATATAATCCCATAATAATATATATTTTCATTATTTTGTCCTTTTAGCAGTGTTTTAAAATTATGCGGTCGAAAATATTCTCAAATATTTAACAAACAAAAGATATATTTACTTTTTATATGTCAAACAACAAAATTTCAGAATTGATTTTGTAATATATTCTTAAAGAATTCTAAATTAATCAACATACTTTATACAAATTTATCTTTCTACTAACTTGATTTATAATTCTCATTCCCCTTGTAGGTGGATTTGATATGCGTGAGTTGCAATCTCTGCCGAATGATGTATGCCAAGAATGTGGTGGTTTACCAATTGCCATTGTTACTGTAGCAAAGGCATTAAGGAACAAGAGAGAACTAGCTGACTGGAAGAATGCCTTACAAGAATTGAAAAGTCCTTCCCCAACAGAGTTCAAAGGAGTGCTGAAAGAGGCATATTCAAAGGTAGCATTGAGTTACAATTATTTAGAAGGTGAGGAACTCAAGAAAGTTTTTTTGCTCTGTAGTATAATGACACGTGATGCTTCCATTTCAAAGTTGTTCAAATTCGTTATGGGTTTGAATATACTTGAAGGAAATAAACTTACAATGGAGGGTGCACGACATAGACTACATACACTTCTTTCTAAACTCAAAGAGTCTTGTTTGTTACTTGATTGTTCTTCACGTAATCGATTTTCTATGCATGATGTTGTTCGGGATATTGCTATAACAATTTCATATAAATACTATCATGTACTTACGGAGAGAAATGATGTTGAAGATGAATGGAAAAATGTGGATATACTCAAAAAGTGCACCAAAATCTCCTTAGCTAATGGTGATATGATTAGTAAACATTGGGCTGAAGGTTTAGAATGTCCAGAACTTGAATTTTTCTATGAGGGTAGGGATTACTATTCTTCTTTGGATATGATGAGTGAACATTCCAATATGATTAGTGATCTTTGGCATCAAGGTTTAGAATTTCAACCATTCTCTGTGAGTAAGGAGTGCTTTTCTTTCAAATTTCCTGAGAAATTTTTCTCAAGGTTGGAAAAGCTCAAAGTTTTAAGTTTGAAATTTCTTCCGTCACCAATTATTCTTCCAATAGGCCTTCAAACATTGTGCTTGGATGGGAGCAAAATTGAAGAAGTTGCTATTATAGGGGAGTTGAAGAAACTAAAGATCCTTAGCTTGAGAGATTGTTACACTATTGAGCAGTTGCCTGGAGAAATAAGTCAACTAACTCAACTAAGGTTGTTAGATTTAAGCTATTGTATATATCTTCGAGTTATCACACCAAATGTCATATCAAGCTTAGTCCTATTGGAAGAATTATACATGATAAAATGCCCTGTTCTATGGGAGGTCGGAGGACACAATGTTAAAAGAAGTAATGCTAGTCTTGAGGAGTTGCTTCATTTGTCTTGTCTCACCGCTCTAGAAATAGATATTAAAGATGAGAAGATTTTGCCTAAACGCTTTTTCTCAAAAAAGTTGGAACGATACAATATATCAGTCGGAAATGAGTTTTATAGTAGTGGTAGAGAATACCCTCGATGTGGTTCAATAGTTTGTGAGGACTTCGAGTTTATTCAAAACGAGGGTTCAAGAATAATCAAAATGGAGCTTAATTCTTCCATTTGCTTGGAGGAACTGCAAGGGATCAAGAATGTTGAATCCTTATGTTTAGATAAATTGCAGAATGTCAAGAATGGTCTTCAAGAATTAGACAATGGTGGTTTTTCACAATTGAAACATCTCCATGTCCAAAATATTCCCAACTTCTTGTGTCTAGTTGACTCAACAAAATGCGCAACTGCCTTCCCCCTCTTGGAGTCACTAATTCTTTTCAATATGATTAATTTGGAAAAGATATGTAAGATTCAACCAACAACAGAGTCCTTCTGCAATTTAAAATTCATAGAAGTGAAAGGTTGTCATGAATTGACAATTCTCTTCTCTTTTTCCACTGCCAAAAGTCTTCCACAACTTCTAAGACTTACAGTGGAAGATTGCAAGAATTTAACTAAGATTTTTGCTATTGAAAGAGAAGATAATGTCAACAATGACAGCGATCAGATTGAGTTCTTTCAATTACACTTCCTAAGTCTGATAAATCTTCCGAGGCTTGCAAGCTTCTGCTCGGGAATGACGACAACATCAACATCACAATCAAGACATACTGGAATAGAAGCAACTCCTAAGTTTGTCTTTTCATGGGTAACATTTTTAAAACTTGATCACCTACCAGAACTTACAACTTTTTGCCTTGGAAGACATACTTCGGAATGGCCGATGTTAGAGGAGTTACAGGTACATAACTGTGAAAAAGTAAAGATATTCACTTCAGAATGTGGTAGCTCCGATGAAAACAACACCGCGGCCCAATTTGATAATTCAGAGCCAGCCCTCTTCTTGATTGAAAAGGTGAGTATCTATTTTCTTTAGTTAATGAAAAAGAGAATAAACAAAATAGAATCATTAATAAATTTAGATATACTTTTTATTTTCCTTAACAAAATCTAGATATAAGAAAAAATCAAATTTGCAGCTTGATTTTGACAAATTTATTATGGAAAATTAGATCATCCAATATAAGTACGAGACATGATCAAAATGTTTAATATTATAAATTATTACCTTCTGTTTTTTTTTTCACCGCCCCTCCACCAACTCCATCCTACCCTTTTTAAAACCTAATAATTTGGGCACAAATAAAATTCTCCTCCAAAGTTAATATGCTAGGATTCTTTACCGAACTTTTGTGTTTCTTGTTAAAAATATAAACTATTGGGATATTGTGTTTAACTCCAACTTCTTGTTGTCTATTGCTATGCAGATCAACCCTAATTTGAAGGAATTGATAGTGGATGGCATGATTCCACTTGGCATCCTTCAAAGATTTAACAACCTAGAAAAGCTCAAACTAGAGGGGGATTCAGACGAAGTATTATGGTCATGTGAAGAAGAAGAGAAACATATTGAACTGCCAATACAGATAAAAAATTTAGAGCTGGATGGTCTTCATCATCTGAAGTACTTGTGGAAAGAAGACTGCAAGCTGGATCCTGTTCTTCTTTTTCAAAATCTTACCCATATGACAGTAACCTATTGCAATGGAATATTGATGAACTTAATAACAACTTCAGTTGCCAGAAGTTTGCTGCAATTGAGGGAAATGACAATCAGCAGATGCGATTTGATGATAGAAGTAATAGAAGATGAGAGAGATGCAACAAATGATGAGAGAAATGTAGCAAAAGATGAGATTGATTTCCCCAAATTGAAGTTGTTGTCACTTGCTTTTTTAGAAAATCTCGTGTGCTTCTACTCTGGGAATTACATTTTAAAATTCCTATCTTTAGAAGAATTATACGTGGATAGATGTCCCAAAATGAAGACTTTCTCTCAAGGGGTCTTGAGCGCACCAAAGTTACAGAAGGTAGTAGAGGAAGATTCGTTGCAGTCCTACTGGGAGGGTGATCTTAATTCAACTATACAACAATTATACAAAAAACAGGTATGTATTTATTTACTTAAGAAAATTACTTTCCTTTTATTTTTTAATAAATATAACTGTTTAGATACCATTAGCAAAAAAAAAAAAAAAAAAATTACATCTTTTAAAATCTAGGTAATTTTTTTTTTCCCCTAAAGAGTCACTTTAAAGTTTCATAAGTAAATTTACATTTTATAGTTTCATAATGATAAGAAATAGTAAAATAATTAAAAAGGTCAAAAAAAGAAAAAAGAATGTTAAACTAGTACATTAAATATCAAAAATACGTTTATAATATTCCATTCATTATTTAGTAAGTGGGTGAGGCTTGGCAGTAGTTTATTGCACAATATAGGCCCAAATTGGGGTATACAATGGGCTCATGCTTAGCCCATATATGTAGGCTTGTGAACCCAGTAGGTCAGCATGTGTCAGGCCTTGGTCCAGATGGGCCCAAGGTGCATGTAGACAACCATCACTATCTCCGCCACCTTTGTCATAACTTCCATGCACAGAGGACCAGGATTTGATTTCCAAGCCTATAAATAGGACTTCTATTTATGTGAATGGTTAAAGTAGATTATTAATTGAATGAACATCGTTTTCATGCATTTTTGCTTTTAAATTATTTATTTACTTTTCCCCTTATCTATCAATTTCTCTGTTAATCATTCTATCTTGTCTATTTCAAAAAAATCATTCATAGATAGAACAATAGGCCTCATTTAAGCAGTGTGGAAGTGAAGAATTCTGTCAGTTCCACAATTATTCAATATGAATTCTCCCATTCTGAATGATAAAATAGATTCATAATGATAAAAAAACAATATGCCACTTTTGGTACCAAATTTTTTTTTTTTCTAATGGCTGAATTAGTGGACAAGTTATTACTATGTAGGTATTATTACTTAAACCAACCCAACCCCGAGGCTTGCCAAACTCATAAAACCACTTAGGTACTTATAATGATGCAAAACCCCCTGTTATATAAAGTTAACAGATTCCCATTACATTTGTAACTAAGGCTGACCTAGCAAATAACAACGAACTATCTGTTAATAGGAACATCAATTTTAACATGATTTATATTATTTTATTTTCAGCCTCACTATGATCTGAATGTGTTGACATTAATTGGAAAGGACAAAAAGCAAATACGTCGAGGCCAAATTCTAGATGAACCAAAGGTTGATGATGTGGAAGCTCTTGTGATCGCTATAGACAAATCAACAAGCATTCCAGTTGAAATCCTTGAGATGTTTCACAAGCTTGAAAACCTTAAACTAGAAGTAAGCTCATACAAAGAGTTGTTCTCATGTGCAGATGACAATAAACGTGCTGGGGCATTCACACAGTTAAAAATTCTGGAAGTCTTTTATTGTCACAATTTGACCACTCTAGTGCCATCTTCTACATCTTTTGATAATTTAAAAACTCTGAAGGTACAATATTGTAATGGATTGAGGAGCTTACTAACATCATCAGCAGCAAAAAGTCTGGTGCGACTCAAAGAAATAACAATAGAACGATGTGAAAAGCTTACAGAAATAGTAGCAAATGGGGAAGATATAGAAAAAGATGTAGTTTTCAGGAAACTAGAGAGTTTGTCACTTGATTGTTTAGAAAATCTTACAAGTTTCTGCTATGAGAATCACACCTTTAAATTCCCATCTTTGAACAAATTAATTGTGCATAATTGCCCCAAGATGGAGACTTTCTCTGGAGGAGTTTTAAGCACACCGAAGTTGCAAAAAGTAGAAACGAATGAGTGTGATTTTGTTGGGTGCTGGGATTATGATCTCAATACAACCATAAAACAATTACAAAAAAAGGTACGTAATTATTTACTTAAAAGTCTATGTTTTTGTTGATTGATCACCTTCTCATCTAATCACTATAATTTTAATGGTTGTCGACTGAATACTTGTCAATCCCCATGGCTTCGTCTTTAATTTTTTTTAAACTAAATTAATGATCTTAATATATATATTTATTTAATTGAATACTAAAATTGATATCTTTAGTTAATCAAACAAACATTTTCCGCTTTTACTTGTAATACTAAAATTAATATCTTTACTTAAACACATATTTATCATTTATTTTAATCGTCTCGAAGAACTTATTTTAAAGATATTAGTTGTTAGTTTTTCATTGTAATTTTGTATTAAAAATCTTTATTTAAAATAAAAATGTGTATTTTATTAATATTTTAAATTATTCATTGTGGTCTCACATGTTATGACCCTAATTTAAATTTCCCAGTACTTAGATAATTAAACCATTCCATAAGCTTACATAAGATGTCAGCTAGATCCAATTAATAGGAGAGGCCCATGTAACAGAGAGAAGTTGACAAAGGAAAAGGCTTCACTCTCTCGGCCCACTTATAGCTATTGAACCACAATACTCTTATGATTACAGAATTGTTTTGCTTTTATCTTTCCTACTTTAATTGTTTTTACATCACTTATGTTTCCATCATTTCATCATTTGAGGTTGAATGGTGGAAACAATCTTTTTACTTCTTAATTTATATACATTAAAAGAATATTATTGAAATAACAATTTTGAATGCAGGTCGTTTTCCCCGATACGAAGGTCTCAAAATGGAGTTCAACGTTATGGGACATTCAATGTCCGACATCAACGTCTTCCTCGTATCATAATATAACACACTTGATTTTGGTGAGTTTTGAGAAACTGATATATATATTTCCATCTTCTCTAGTAAAAAGCTTTGAACAACTTCAACAACTTGAGATAAGATGGTGTCGGGTTTTAAAGGAGATTGTTACGATAGAAGAAGTTGAAACAACTTCTACGTTTGTCTTTCCACGAGTAACCACTTTAAAACTTGAAAACTTACCAGAACTTACATCTTTCTATCCTGGAAAACATACATCGGAGTGGCCCGTTCTAAAAATTTTGGCGGTACATGAATGTGAAAAAGTGAAGACTTTCACTTCAGAACATCTGAGCTTCCATGAGGACAGTGAAGAAGCCCACTCTCTCTTGTTAGTGGAAAAGATACGAGTTTCTTTGTACTTTCTTTAATGAATTAGAAAATTGAAAACATCATTATAATACATAAATTGGATCTCTTTGATTATATGACTAATTAATATCTCTTTTTTCTTTGAAAATTAAATTGGAACTTCTCAAGAGTTAATTAATGAGGAAGGTAGCTTTGAAAATTTTGTTATCATATTTCATGGAGATCTTGCGATGTGTCTCCATTGTTCAACTCAACTTTGGGTTGTTGAGATGATCTCCCCAAATAACAATTAGTTTTTAAGTGATGTTTTTATCCTTAGAATTTTGGGGATGGGCAGTTTTCACCCGACTCGAGAAACGATAATTTACACATTTAGGCCCAGTTATTGAGGCAAGCCCAATCTGACCCGATTCTCTTGGGCTAAAGATCGATCTCCTCTTTTGTATTAGGCTTGGGCCCGAAATTTAATCGGGACTTATAGGTTTAACCCTATTTATAAACTAGGTTTTTAAAATGATTTCTAGGTATTATTTAAACTCTGAAAGAATTAGATGGTGTTTAAATAACACCTCTCAAAATTCTATAAATCTTTAAGCCCAACACATTGATAAATTTCATAAATTATTTGGGAAGTAATTTTTAGGCCCATTATTTTTGTCTTTAACCGGCATGCTCAAGTTTAAGTGGGGATATAATTGTAATTAAAAAAATATTCTTCATCTTCTTCCATATTTTTAGTTATAAAAAAATTAAAAAGTAAAATTAAATCATCATGAATTAATAATAAAAACACGTGATGAAATCAATCAATATTATTATCATACAATTATGAATTAATTTGTTTACAGAATCAAAACCTCAAAACTCTTACAATTAAGTAATCACTTTTAAATCCATCTTGACAAAAGATATGTTTATTTAATATGTAATTCAATGTAAATATTTATTTTCAAAAATTAGGTATGCAAAAAAAAAAAAAAATTATAAATTATACTTGATCAATTGTTTTAAAAAAGTATAGTTTTTGGATCCATTGTTAAAATTACTTGAAAAATCTCATTGGAAGATCAAAAATTCATACATTAGTTTCTCTTCAGCCTGTTTTTCTTGACCCATCAATTCAACCTTTTTTTTCTACGATATTTTTAAAAATAGAAAAAAGTTACTGGATGTTGGGTAAAATCATTAAAAGCTATTTTGTCTCCAACTTGATTTTATTTGATTAATCTGTAGATCAATCCCAATTTGGAGGCATTGAGACTGAGCAAAGTAGACGACATGATGACATGGCAAGGCCAATTTTCAGAAAACTTCTTTTGCAAACTTAAACATCTTGAGATCATATTCGGATGCTATGAACAAGCAAATGTGCCAGTTGGAATCCTTCAGAGATTTAAGAATTTGGAAATGCTCAAACTAGGTTGGATTAAAAGCAAAGAGATATTCTTATATGGAGAGGATGAGAAAACTATCGGGATGCCCACTCACATAAAAGGTTTAAAGCTGTTTTGTTGTTCTTATTTGGAGTACCTATGGAAACAAGACTCCAAAGTCGCCTCTATTCTTCAAAATCTTGAAGTTCTTGAAGTTTACAAGTGTTCGAGCTTGATCAATGTAGTGCTATCATCAGCATCTTTCCAAAATCTTAAAGTTCTCACTGTAGTGGATTGTGATAGAATGGTAAACTTAATAACATCTTCTGCAGCAAAAAGTCTTACATGCTTTTGCACTGGGAAATACACTTTCAAATTCCCAACTTTGGAAGATTTAATTGTGGAAGATTGCCCCAACATGAAGACTTTATGTGAAGGAGTCTTAAGCACACCAAGATTACAAACGGTATGGGAAGACAAGTGCTTGAGTATTGAAAGTTGTTTGGAGGGTCAACTTAATACAATCATACAACAATTACACAGAAACGTGGTAAGTCCTCATTTATTTATTTTATTTTTATTTTTTTATTTTTGGTTTTTATGTAATTGTTGTTGCTAGATATATAATTAAGTTGGCTCATAGAAATCCCTCTAGCGAAATTCAAATTAGAATTTTTATATTTTAAAAGATATATATAAATGAAAAAAAGTCAAATTCACGTATCATATATAAATACACATTGCATAAAAAATGAATACATTGGGCTTTCACTATCTAAAAATGTTCAAGGGTCATTCAAGATTATCTATGAAAAAATTAAGAACACTAAACAGAAAAAGAATAGTAATTTCCAATTTGTAATGAAATATAAATAAAATAACAACTAAGATTATTATGTGGAGAAAGTATATGAATGAAAAATTTAGTTATTGAGAAACAATCAGCTTTTAGTCTGAAATTTTGAATCTTGGCAACGGATAAGTTTTTCATGACAAATTTAAATTAACCTTTTTTCTAGAAACAAATATTAGTGCTTTGAAATTTTATTTAATAAGAAATGCATAAAGGATAGAAGTTTAAAAAGGAAAAGATAAACATTTAATTGGATTAAATGGAGTAAATATTCCATTACATGACATATTAAACTGGAACCTTAATTAGTTATCAAGGGAAAACTTATTGAAAGTAGTAAATATCAATGTACTTATTAAAGTTTAATTAATTGGTTCTTAATTCAATGAGAAGCCTTAGCTGCTTGCCCCTGCAGCCGTGAGCCTCCAGCATGCAAACCAAAAGGGTTAATCATGCAGAAAACCCATGGACCTGAAAACCCAAAGCGTGACAACAGTTTTTCTTCTAAAAATAAATATAATTATTACTCGCATGTTTCCTGCTAAACATATATAGTATTGTGTGATATTGGTTATGGGAAACATTAATTTTAACATGCTTTATATGATTGATCTTCAGGTTCATTCCAAGTGGAAATTTGCTTCTTTTGCAAGCGATGACGGGGAAAGTGAAAGCCATGACCTGAAAAGTGAGGGCCACGACTTGGAAAGTGAAACCTCCAATTGAAATCTTGAAAAACTTACACTAAAAGTGAGTTCTTATCAAGAGATTTTCTCCTGTGGATTTTATCACAAATAATAATTCTAGAAGTGTATATGTGTTGCAAGTAGACTACTCTAGTGCCATCTTCAACATCTTTTGAGCACTTGACAACTTTGGAAGTATGACAATGTGATGGATTAAGAAACCTACTTTCATTCGCAAACGTCAAAAGTTTGGTACGTATTAATTTATCCCATCATAAAACGTCCTCACCAAATAAATGTTTACTTTTTTTCCTTGATTTTCCTTTTAATTGATAAATTATATCAATTTAATTTTCAAAGAAACATTTTCTATAGTTTTTGCATTTATTGAATGTGTTGTAATTTGTTAATATTACAAAATGTTCAGAGTTGTGAGCAAGATTCTGTCAAACTCCAATGTAACCTGTGGAATAAGGACTCTTTGTATGCGGTTTGTGGGGCATTGCAGTCCATGTTCCTTGTGTTCAATTTAGACAATGAGAAGGTTCTTTGTTTTCATCTTCATTTTTGTTCTGCTTTTATCTTTCCTTTAATTTGAGATTTCTACTTTGAAAGTATTTCAACACTAAAGTGTTTCTATTTATTTGATTATCTGAGGTTGAATGTGTTGGGTGTCTCACCCATTTTTTTTTTTTTTTTTTTTTTTTTTTTTTTGGTGTTACAATGGCCAATGGGCTAAGATGTGATTCTTTTGAATTGTAAGAAGAAATAAGAGTTAGTTTTTGTGCAGGAGAGAAACGAAAAGGGAAAACTAGTGAGAAACAGGAGACACATGCAACGCAGGGGAGGGAGAAAGTAATGAAAACAGTTTTTTCTGGCATTTATCCAACGATGAATCTTGCTTCATTTTGGCTCAAATTTCATAACATTATTGTCGATGATAAGATCTTCACATGCAACAATCAGTTTCTCGATAGTCCTCTTCAATGTGGTGTTTAGGTGAGATCGCCCATTTTGTCTCTATCTTGTTAGGATGATGATTTGTAATGTTGTTATAGCCCCTAGTTTTATCTAGAGAATAAATCATTGTACGCATTATTTAATATAGTAGAAGTTGAAATCGGACTACGGTCTCGTGGTTTTTCCCATTTGGGTTTTCCACGTAAAATTCAGTGTCTCGTTTGTGATTGATTGATCCTGTATTTTGCTGGTGTTTTGATTTAAATTATTAGACTAAGTTTGTGAACGCATTTAAATCACACAAAGACGGAAAAATTATTTGCTTCGGTTTTGTAGATTGTTCACTGCAGCCGATCCGGTTTTTGACCCAGGAAATGTTCGACAATTCCTTGCCATTTGCTAGTTGTTGGATTCATTACTCAAGTATGAATTATGTGACTATGGATGTTAATTGATTACTGTATGTTTCACACATTTCTGGCATATTATGATACTATTTATAATTGTATTTTCATTTATTTGAAAACCTGGATGTTAAGGAAACAGACACGGAATTTTTTAAGGAATTTTTTTTTTTAAATAAAAAGGCACAGAAAAGCTTTCTCTTAAATTCCTCATTCAAACATTACGAAATTAATTAGCTTCAAGCGCCATTTGATCAGCATCACTTACAAAATCACCAATACAACTCATACATCACTTCATGCTAGTCACATAACTTCTTTCACATTCTTTTTCACTATTGAAACGTGTTTTAGATATCCAAAATTCATTGCATTTCCGCTTTATACAGCAGCATAATTCATGCCCGAGACTCTGCGAAATGTTGCACTTCGATTCCCAGTTGCTGGGAAAGCAAAACGGCGTTTACCACTGGACTTCGATTGAACTTCTAACACTTTGGACTCTTCTGCGACAGGTTTTGGCTGTTCACCACTGGTAAAAGATGAGAGGGATTGAAGGTTCTTTGAAGATGTAAGAGGCTCCACCTTGATCTCTTTAACTGCTTTTAGCTGTTCATCCCTTGTGGAACATGAGTGGAATGGTAGATTCACCTATCATTAAAATGAACAGCTAATTAATAAAATACGATTAAATGAAATCGTATTTAATTTATGGAATGCACCAATTAAGAAATGCAGATGACAGCTATGCTAGTCAAGGATACAAGATGGCATTCACTTTGGCAACAATCGAACCCTTGGACAACCTCCCCTTATGAATTTCACATAATGATGACTCACACAACAAACAGGCCAACAAGTAGACAGGTTTCATAACAGTTGAAAAAGTAACCATCCAAATTAAAGTAAATAATGGAATAAAGATCCAAAAAAATTAACACATTTTATCTTTTATTTTCTTTTCCTTTTTTAACAAGAGAGAAAAACATTTATAACTAACAATGGCCTTAGGAAATTAACATTCAAAAAGAGGCAAAAGAAAGAAAGAAAGAGAAATCAGCAGCACATACTCATTTTGCCATTTGACGAGAAATCAGCAACACATAGTCACCCCTTTACCAGAACAGAATAATTGCAGAGCAAGCAAAAATAATGAGCACATTAAACTCGCCTTTTTTTTCAGTATCAAACTTTCTCTTTGGGTTACCCACCAGTGCTCCAAAACCACGGGTAGGTTTCTTTAGAGCCTGAACAGATGCTTCAGTAACCTATAAAGAAATAAACATTTTAATCTACAGCTATCAATTTAAGATTATAATCAATACAAGGCATTAACATTTTACAACCTTAACTGAAGAGCATATGCCAGTATTTGTCTCTCTACTTTGACACAAGTTAGTATGCTTTCTCTAGGAAGCTCCGAGATATGAATGCTGGACTCCTTTTCTTCACCATTTGTTCCAGGATGCCCCAAAGATCCTAGTCCTTTTCTGTTAGGTTCTGTAACACTGCTTCCAAATTTCAAAGAAGGTGGTAGATGTGGAATGATGCTAAGCATTGAACGCATTGCCACCACCAACACTTTCTACTGTAACATTTGAATTTTTCACATTTGTGGAAGTCTCAGCGACTAAAGCTTCAGTTTCATCATTAAGTGCTAAATTTACTTCAGAGGCCTCCACAATCAGAGATTTAATTTTACAAAAATAAATGGAAACAATAACGAAGAATTTAACACCAAAGAGAGTTGGAACTTAGAAAGTATCAAGTCTATTCTCTATAGCTAAAAAAGCTACATCAAACATGGATCAACAATTAAATACTAGGACTACTTAATCAGTGAGTAGTTACTAAACAAGCCCATTTAACAAGTCATACCCTATCAAACTGTCCTAATGCATAAAATATCCATGCTAGACTTTCACACAAAATTATTGAAGCAGAATAACACTTATAATTTATGCTTGCCTAGCTAATGAACTTTCCTTTTGCCTGTTGTGAAGGACAACATAGCTTCAAAATGTACAAAATTTTCCTGAATATATGAAGGGCCAAAGATCTATATCACATGTTCCAACATTAATTTGGTTAACTCTTTATAAACCCTTCATTTTTTTCAGAAGAAACTAAAACAATATCATTACTTCAAGAAATTACAAGAGAGTGAACAAGTTGTCCACAAAAGTTAAGATCCATCTAAAGGATCTATACAGAAAGGTTTGAACAACTCAACAAAAGCTACAAACAACTCAAAATTCAATGCCAATAGCCAAAATTAAACCAAAACCCCTCCCCAATCTAAGTGAATAAAGAAAAAGGAAGTATCTTGAAAAGCTTTAGAGACTTAATCCCACAGAGAAGCAAGCAAACGAACTCTTTATAAACCCTTCATGACCAAAATGATTTTAAAATTACTAAATGAATTTACAACAGGTGATCATTTTAATATTCACAAACATATAATTAGTAGGAACGAGAGCATGAGCAATAACAGCTAAAATTCATTCAAATCCTATTTCCAAAATTTATACAAGTACACTCCCTTCCCTCCATGAGGTCTAAACAGATCCCACGTGGTAAATTACACGTCACAGGAGGTTGTACACTCAATATTTCCTTTTTTTTTTTTTTTTTTTTTTCACTAGCTTTCAACATTATGAAACAATTTACTCCAGCTCAGCTTTCTTCTTATGAAGCTCATAAAGATAAGGAATTTATAGTATGGGTGAATTAATTTCTTTTTTTCTTTCGGTAGACATTAATTACTAACAAAAAATAACAATTCATCATGTACAGTTTGACTATTTGATACCTAGTATATGCTATCCAATAAACAGTCAATCCATTCAAGGCTGAGAAGGGTAAGATTCACTGAAACAGCTCAATACCAAGTCACCACTAGATTACTGTCATGAAACTAGTTTATGCAAGTCTTACGACTTCCATTTGTCCCTCTTTTAACTGTTGAGCAACGGCTTCAAAAGCAGTAGCATTCTGAGAATCCCTAATAATGCTAACTAACGAGCCAAGATTACGCTCAATATATGGATGCTTCGATTTCAATAATCGGCATGACTTGCTAGGAGTAATAGGCATCTGTTTGGCTTTTATCACCAGAAAGAAAAAATGTGAATCAGGTCAAAACTCAATGAATGAGTGTTATAAATAACAAAGATATAATTTAAGTTAAACGGAAAATTGGAGCAGTTTTTTACTAATTTCAAGAAGAGTTTTGTTAGGCGAAATATAACCAGTAACTTCATCCTCTGTACGGGCAACAACATCTCACCATTGACAAAGGCCCTGCAAACCATTTAAGTTGGGACCTATAAGAAAATGAAGTAGACATGTATACACAAATATGTTATAACCATAAAAGTAGGTTATAATAATGTGTCAATCAGTTGATCTCCCAAGTGTCATCAAATCATCTAAAAATTTAAAAGTATAATCCTTGACACAACCATACAGATGACTATGGTGCCATTTGAGGCTTGTCAAAGATGTCAAAGAAAAGTCTCTGTGTTGTAGACAGTTCATTTCCCGTGGCTTACAATCCTCATGCATATAAGATGGATAATGTAAATAAATTTAAAAAAAAAACTTACAAGCTGCTGAGCATTCAATTCAGTCCCCTGCAACCTATTTCAACATAGGAAAATAAGTAGCTACTGATTAGTTTCTACTCAAAAAAATGATAAAACAAGAGATGTAAATAAAATTTTTAGTACAAGATGTTAAATTCAAGCAGGTAGCAGTCATCTTAAACTAAGATAATAAGGAACTAACCCATATATATAGAGATATGAATTCTCTGTCAGAAGCTCTTTTTCATACAGCTGCATGCATTTATCGTAACTACGCTTGTCGACCTGTTTGCAAGTGAAATTTGCTCAACATGATGAAAGTACAGTCATTAATGGAAAATAAATAGAAAGAACAATTACAAATCCCCACAAAACTCATGCTTCTCAATACTTTTACTTGGAAGGGAAATGAATCAAACTTAAGACAATGAGACACGAGGGAATGTCAAACAAAGACTTCATTAACTCAAAATAGGTTGAAAAACAGAGATGGCTTATATTATCGACATTCTACTCTCAATGATGTATAATTCACAAGCAGAAACAAGGATCAAAATGAAGGTCGAAACAAGGATCAAAATGAAGGTCAAAACAAGCTCTACATTGTCAAAGAGATCCATAAGGAACTTATTAAAGAACACACGGTTTGCATGAATTATACCTCTTATCATTGAAGCATCAGAGGTTTCGGACTCCTTAGACATGGAGAACAATTTGATTTTCATCATATCATATATATACAACGAATAGCGTGTATCTTCTCTGGCATATCTGTCATCACAAGTAAAATCAAATTGTTCAGATATGCCAACCCCCAAATGTAAATTACTTTTCAACGTTAGCAAATGCAGATACATTCATTACCAAGTGGAGTATCTGCACTTTATTTTCAAGAAATCAATATCAGAAAAGCAGAAGTTAGAAACAAAAAGGAGAAATGGAAAGTAAAACTTACCTGAGCATCTTGCCAGGGTGGGGGCGTAATCTCCAATCTGCATTCTGATATCTGCAATGAGTTGACTGATCAACCTTAGCAGAAAGGAAGGATGGAAAATAAAATTGAAACATAAATTATAGAAAAAAGAAACCAAACATGGAGAGAATCAGAAGTAAATTAAAGGACCCACTCTTTGTTGGCAGTAACTCCACAAAAGTGCCATAGAAGATACTCCAAACTATTTCTCTCCAATTTCAAGACCGTTGAGGCCTGAGATAAAGTCAAAGAGAAATTTCACCCTCACTTCAATCGCAATGGTAATACTTAAAATAAACTAAGAACATATTAGGCATGAAAATATAAAAGATCAGAAGCATAACAAAAAACATCATCAAAAAGGGGAAAAGAAGGACCACGTATTGGGAATACATCAATATGCATAGTTGACATGAAAAACTACTTCAGTAAAATCGACTTGCTACATACAGATTCTTTCTTACTTGAGTCAGAAAATAATAAATGCTGCTTTTTGAAGCCAAACTTTAACTGAAAAAAAATTCAAATTAATTGAAAATACAAACAATAATACTACACCCACAACCTTTTTATACAAACTATCTCTCACAAACTTATGTGGCAAAAGATGATTGGGTGAATGTTTATTTTAAATTTAAAGTCACCCAATCATCTTTTACCACATAAGTTTGTGAGAGAAAGTTTGTATAAAAAGGTTGTGGGGGTAGTATTACTCAAATACAAAAGCATAATATGAAACAGAATGTCAGCCTAACTAATTCAGTAGCAAGCAAGATTGAGCATCATTAATTGCAAATAAGACCATATGTGGTATCTTAAATCAAAAATTCCCGATGACATCTAATATGAGAAATTCAAATTAACTCAAAATAAAATCCTAATTTTCAAAGTAGTGGATTCAAAGTGCAATCCTGTCCAGTATAAAACATATTGCAAAAATATATGCAAAAGTCTCATTGAAGCCATACAATATCCAGATCTGCTCCATGCATGACCTAATTACATTAAATATTATCATTAAATAAAGTAGATAAGTCAAAAAGCCAAAAGAGTAGTGTGGTTGAAGAGAAAAACCTTTTTCTTGGTAGGGTCTTTGGAAACTTCCCCAAGATATGGGCCCACATGGACGCAAAGGTTTCATGTATCTACCAAAAAATCTTCAGTTCTGGTAGAAATTTGCATCAGGCAAGTCAATCCTTGGAAAGATCGATATTGATTATGCTCCAAATCGACCTAGAGAAAGGTTAAACAAATGTTACAACGTTTTCATATTTACTTGAGGATCTCCCTTTCTCATGAAGTAGAAACTAATACCAGGTTTATTTCATCCATATTTGCTTAAGGATCTCCTCTTGCCATTAAGGAAAAACTAATACCAGTATTTTTTTTTTTTTTTTTTTTTAAAATTCATATTTGCTCAAGGATCTCCTTTTGTCATGAAGAAAAAACTAATGCCAGGTTTATTTCATGCTAGAGAGAAAAAATGAAGATGTAGTCAAGAGTGCAGTCCCATGTGAAGATACTAGATAAATTCCTTAGGCATACAAAACTAGCACCAAGAAAAAGTAGACAGTTTATATTATTAACCTGACAGGTAGATCCCAAAGGGTGGTTTTCTTTTTTTTTTTTTTTTTTGGGTGGTGGTGGTGGTGGGGGTGTGGCGGTGCATTTTGCTAAACACCTCATTGTGCACCATATCACTTAAAGGATTAGGATCTTAACTACACTTTATCCCCAAGTATAATAGATTTGTGCAAATAAAGTTCTCTACAAAAGTAGAAATTAAAGATGCTGCAAAGATGAAACTAATATGGTAAAACTTTTAGTTAAGTACCCCACGTCAATGTACCAATTAAAAATAAATCAGCAGTCAGACTTTACCGCAAACTCATTTACACTCCACAATTTAGCAGCTAACTCCTTCAAATCTTTAACTTCTTCCACGAGCTTGACTGGTGTTTCCTCCAGTGAAGTGGGTTTTACAGGTTTAACATCCCCTATATCTTTATCCACAAACTGCAAAACAGAGAGACTCTCCTATACACATGAAGGAACAAAAATAAGCAAAAGTATTATACATATACTCTGGCAAGGATGACACAATAAATACATATACAGATAGCATGAGAAATTTTTTAAACTATGTTATAGTCGAATGAGAATGAGAACTATGAGTCTATGACATACCATGAAAATCCAAACCAGTAAAGAAAAGCATCAATATCTAACCATCCTTCCACCAAATAGAAAATGGGAGAAAATTTAAAACTATTAATCACATAATGGTACATTTAAGAGTGAGTTATATACATGAACCAGTAGGGCAAAGGGAATTCGATATAGACATATCAAGTCATTATTAAAAGATCTTGGCTGTACCCAAGAAACGTCATCATACGACTACAAATCAACATCACTTGCATCTACATACTACCTAGCATTATCCAGGATAACATCGCAGCAATAAAGCCAAAACCTAGAGTTTTCTATAGTAACAAAAATTATTTGAATAAATGATTCTGAGAGTGAATAAAGCTAGTCGGTATTAGAATTCAAAGACTGAAAAGAACATGTTTTTCCTAGACCTCAAAAGCTTCTTCTGTCCAGAAACTTCAAATCAAATACTAAACAATAATTCGCAAAAAAGAAATGAAAAAAATAATAAAAAACTAACCAGAGGATGAAGAAAGAACTGATTATCCTCACTCCTCTGTAACCAAACATGCTGAAATGGCTGGTTCAATTTATTCACCAAGATATTATACTTCTCTTGAGGTCTCTTTATAGTGGGCATATGAAACGGCGCTTTTGCTCTTTCTTTGTTAGTTTCTTTTCCTTTAGTTTGACATTCACCGAGTCACCCTGCACCTTCACCCGACTCACTGAGTCACCACCAGCACTCACCACAGACACAAACTCTCCCTTCTTATTCTTCCCATAAACCAACTGAAACCCATCTTCATTTCCCTTCTCTCCTTTCTTCTCACCCCTACATTTCTCAAATTCATCAAAAGATGCATTGTACAAAACGTCGTCGTTTATTTATTTTCAAAACCAAGAGATTTATTAATTTTAAAAATATATACAACTAATCATAGAAACTTCATTTTGATCATAAACTAATTAAAATGAATTTTCTACATAAACAATTTATTAAGTTAATTGAATTTTAAATTTCAATAAAATATTGAATATTAAAATATTAATTGTTAATTAAAACAATTTTTTTAATAATTAAATACATCAAAATGAATTAAATTTCAAATGAATTTTCTACATAAAAAAATTATTAAGTCAGACTGGACACTGGAGTTGGATCATGGATGGATTTTAAATTTCAATGAAATATTAAAATGTAAATTAGTAATTAAAAGAAAAAAATAATAATTAAATACATAAAATGAATGATAAAGAAAATATGTTTACCATTTGAATGATTATTTACTTTTTAATTAGAGATATTATACAAAAGTAAACACATTTAAGAATATATTAATTTAAATTTCAAATAAAACCATAATAGTAAGAAGTCAAATATAATTGGGTTCATGTGCTACGCATGCAACGCAAGGAAAGAAAATGAATAATCCATTCATATAGATATACATGAACTATTTCCGATTCAAAGAGGTATTGATGAATTGTGAGAGTGGGAATGCAAATGAACAAATAGTTTGGAGTTTGAAGGTTTAGGGTTTCACAATTCAAAACTTTAATATAAGACTATATTTTCGAGTAGATAAAAGTTTTGCTCTAAGAATGGAAATATTTATCACTTTGCCTGATGAACAAGAAATACTATGTGTTGAATGATTCAAATTTCTATTTATTAGTGGTCTAAGGACTAAGGGAGATGAATTTCTAAGTATCCTTCCTAATGAAGAGTAATTGAAGATCTAAGGTAATGGATTTTTTTGAAGAGAAAAATTAAAAATATTGGACTAGAGGTACACTTCAACCATAAAAAAACATTCCATGAAAAAAAGCATTGACATCTGATCATTTAGACAATCTCTAACCCATTACACCAATTTGGTGCAAAATTACACTAAATTGGTGCAAAGTTTGGTGCGAAATACTATTCCATCTCTAACCTACAATACCAAATATTACATCAAAAAGAATATTTTTTAGAATATTTTTTTTTTCATTTATTGTGATAATCAACAATTAATCTATTTCACTAATTTTTTTTGTAAATATTAATCAAATATTGGGAATGATATTTTTATTAAATAATAATTATTTTAAAAATTATACTAATTTAATAAAATTAAGCATTTATTTAATCAAATAAACATTACATTTAATATAGAAAAACATTACATCTAATATAAAATGATAAAAAAAAAAAAAACAACAACAACAACAATACAAAGGTAAAATTCCATATTGATAGTAATTTAATTTTCCGAATTAGTATGTTCTTCCCACAAATGATCAGTCTGCAGGAATAGTGTTTAGTTTATGTTATATTTTTTTTTAATTTTAGTGTTTTTAAATTAGTGTTAATTTTTATTTTGAGTTATTGTAATTTAATATTTACATTTAATAAAGTTCTATTTTTAATTTTTCATCATTTTTTAAATTATATTATTATTATGAATTTATTATTATAAATAATAATCAAATTAAATTAAATGCAAATACTCAAATTTGGTGTGATTTTTAGTATAAAATTTAATACCCAAATTAACTTAACAAAATTAAAACAAAAAAACAAAATTAAAAAATATGTATATTTTTTATTCTTGCTACAATATTACACAATTTGGCGTGCGCTTACGGTATCGCGCCAAATTTGGCATGGTGCTTTGGCGTGGGTTGGAGCACCAACCCACGCCAATTTGGTGTCTCCAACCCACGCCAAAATGGCGTAAAAACACGCCATTTTGACGTGGGTTGGAGATGCCCTTAGAAATTATGTAGGCACTAAGCAATTAAAAAGTCAGCCAATGCAATCCCACATACCCCAACCCAATAAGAAATTCAAGCCCATTAAAACCTAACGAAATTATCGGTCAGTCTAAAAACATAAAACACCCCAACCCAATGAAGTTATGAATCAGTCAAAAGGCTTTTGCTAATTGTTAATTGTATCTGTAGTTTGGTTTTGCCTTTGGGACCTCAAGTCACAGTCCGGTACACCGCTGTCATGTTTGAAATAGAGACACCAGAGTGTTATAATCGGAGAAGAAAGAGTGAAAGACAAAGGCAAATAAAGGAAAGCAAGGGCTAATGGACAAAAAATAAATTAATGAAAAGATAAACCAAGAGACTTGGGTGCACTTCTCAATACAATTTAATGAATGAAATTGACATGCCGTGTATAGGCTGACACTGACACAGGCAGCACGTTTACCCCACTCTTCACATGTCCGTCATAATATATTAACTTAATGGCTACTTGCCAGTTGCCACTGCCCACTGGCGACCTCATAATAGTACTTGCCACTAGCCACCGGCGACCTCATGATGGCCACTTGTCACAGATTTCACTTTGTTAAACTAGCGTATAAATTCTAAATTTAACCTTACTTTTTTATTTATAATTTTTTTCAACTTACAAATTGAGTTTATAAGTAGAAAATATAACTATAAGTAAAAAATTGTAGGTTATGGAAGTCACTCTTTTTTTTTTTTTTTATTATAAGTTAGTTTGATCAAATATATTATTACATTATTTTTGTTTAATTTTAAAATTCTATAATATACTCTTATTTAATGTAATATATTTTTTTAGTCATTTTATAATAAAATATACTTATAAATTATATTTTACCAAATATGTCAACTACTTATTAATCACTTATAAGTACTTTAACCAAACAAGTAATTGCTTAAAATTTTAAATGTTTATAAGCTAATTTTTATAAAAACACTTGTTATTTATAAACTAATTTTCATAAGTTCAGATAAACACCCTCTTAATCTGTTTTATGTAAATGTAAGTATGTGAATTATTTACTAAATTTATGCTATTATTTATACTAGTTAGCGGCTAGTAAGATTATTGTATCACGTACAATACTACTGATATTATGAATAATAAATAATATGTTGATGCTTTTGGATGATTTTATAAAGTCTTACGTAACTTGTCATTTTCGATCTCTTCATCCTTCACCATGTTACTGCCACTGCAAGTGAACCAGACAGTACTGTTTTATTTCTCTGAGGGGTTAGTATTTAGGGAGAACGGCTTACAACTACCTAAGGTTTGCCGTAATGATAAATTGACACTAAAAGATTTAAAAATGATAAATTAGTACCTTCTATCATGTACTAATAGTAATTTTCATTTGCTAAAAGGATAATACAGTAATTTCATGTACAATCACCAAACTTTATTTGAGAAATATTAGTCTATTTTTAATTATTTTTAGACCTCTTAAGTTTATTAATTTAATCAAATACCCCCAGAAAAAAGTTTAAAAATTAAAAAAAACACCCCCACCTACCCATACTTGCCAGATTCTGGCAACCACTGCCGGCGGTAGCCAGAATCCGTCACAACGGTCTACACCACCCGGAAATGGTCGGTAATTCACCGATCTGGCCTTTTTCGGCCATATCTGTGGTGGATTTAGTCAGAAAAGACCATATCGACGCGTTACGACACAGATCTGACCAGTCTGTGTCGTAACGCAATTTTCTCGCTAGATTCCACTGGTAGTGGCTGGAATCTGGCATTGCGGGTGGTGGGAGTGTTTTTGTCATTTTACAAAAAATTTATATATTGGGGTGTTTAGTTAAATTAGAAAACCTATGTGGTAAAAAAAATATATCAAATTTTCAAGGGCATTTTAGTCTTTTCAACATTAGCAAATGGAAATCACTAACAGCACATGATGGAAGGTACCGGTTTGTCATTGTTAAACCTTTTGGGTACCAATTTATTATTATAGTAAACCTTGGGTAGGTGTAAGTTGTTCGGCCTCGTATTAATCTCAATCACCCTTAGGGGCAGTTTGGTTCGGGGTTAAGTAGGATTACTGGGGTAATGTCATCCTATATTACTTGATTACCACGTTTGG